AACTCACTGCACATAGTCATTGTATATGTATATATTGTATATAAAACATTTTGTAAAATAAATGCATTGAAAAAAATATGTTATCGTATTCTTCCTGGGTAGTCTGTGTTGATGTCCTTCTTAGTTTTATCAAATGTCACACATTGATTCATTTGAGACGTCAGTTATGTGACGGATGTGAAAGAGTTGTCTAAAATAAAGAAGTAGAATGCTTTACTTCTAGGCTGTCCGGGTGACGCCACGTCGTTGGCAGATAGGCCGACGTTTCGCCTGTCATGTCGCAGACTTCTTCAGGGTACTGACTAAGCTGCCTAAGAGCTACTAAAGAAGCCTGCGACATGACAGGTGAAACGTCGGCCTATCTGCCAACGACGCGGCGTCACCCAGACAGCCTAGAAGTAATGGATTCGAGCTGCGGAAACCTACGTGTACAAGTAGAATGCTTGACGGATCGGTAGGAATAGAATAAATCAGCTCCTGAAATCCATGCGAAGTGGATTGAAAGCAAAATGGGATACACGAAAAGTGAATTCTCTATTGTTTAATTTGTTCATCTCCTTGTATTACCTTCTCGTTATAATATATTAGCTTTGTAATATATGTTTACGAACACACACACACACACACAAATCCTTTGCGTAAAAATAAGGTTTCCCCGACATATCAGCTAGCACTGTAAAACTCTAGCAGCTGAGTGTAAAAGAGTCCGAGAGGGCACAGAAACGTATTTACCATAATATAAATTTGTTTACTCATAGGTCTTCAGAATTAAATTCAATACGGAAAAGGCGTTTGTCTAAAAGAGAAGGAATCGTATATTAAATACTTCTCGAAGCAAAATTACTCAGGTACTCAGATTACGAGTAAGCAGAGAATTGATTTTATTGATGATTTTCAATGAAGTAAAAAATCAAAAGTAGAAATAAATTATTTTTGGATACTATAGAGCTCGATGTGTCCATTAAACTACAAACGTCTTCATTGCTCCGTGCGTCTCTGTATAAAGTAAAAAAAAGGGCTGTACATCATTGCCTTCTATATCTAAATAAGGCCTAAGAACATTATTTACATTTCATGGCTCTCATTTTGATGTTATATTAAACACTTCTTTACTAACAGCAATCTATCATAACTTTTGACAATGCATAAACACACACTCAGAAATGTACGTGTTAGACGCCACCGTGGTGATCGCAATCAGCCAGCCTGCATTGTTCCGCGCCACAGCGGACAAACGCTAAGTGTAATGCTGTGAGGCGCCATGCGCCTCATACTTATTGAGGACAATCTGTATTGCAAGCGCTAAGTCAGAGAGGCTTTTAAGCTCCAGGGAAATGTTAGAGACTGAATGAAAGTTCTTAAGTTCTCCTTCTCACTTTTACTTTCCTGTTGTTTGCATCCATAGTCCACGACACCTGTCCCCTGGGTAAGGCTAAATGAGCAACAGTAATTCGCCATCTACGCGCTTGACCAACTTCGAAAGTTGCAAAAATTCAAAACTTTTTCTACATTCTAATTTCTATCAAGCAATATTTATATTTTTATTTTACCCATTCAATTTCAAATTTGCTGAAACTCTGGATATTATCGAAGATAAGATTATCTGGAAGTGGGAATCAGTCCATTATTCCCAGTACACCAAGGGAAATGTAAGAACTTGTCGCTCCATTTGAATAAAGCCAAAGAATATTGTAATTGTCAATTTCAGTATATTAATAATTATAAGTCGTACACATTTCTGAACACTAAGAATTATATCGTAACCATATGTATAAACATTTTGAAATGAAAAATGATAAAAATAATATGTAACACAGAGAAATTGAATTTTCTTTTAAAACGACTGATTTTCCAAACAAATCATCAGACAATAAACCTCTAGTTGGCAAATGTATAGAACCTACAAAGTAAATGGCCATTCAATTGGTGTGGATGAACATGTGAATGTATTTAAAATACGTATTTCAAATGCAAGTATTTAAATACCGCCAAACCTTGCTCATTCCAAATCGTACAGCATTTGGTGCAAAAAGCAAATATTTTCAAACAAATATCAACACTAATTTGACAACTATAACTACTTTTCATGCAGTAAAATCATGTCCCAACCATAAGTCGTAATTCACAAAAATGAGATTCCGAGTCATTTTTGTCGAGTAATTGTAAAATTCAAATCTGATTTTCCCTAACATCTAGCAGTATTTCAAATAGGTTTTAAATGATTTCTAAACGATTAATGTGTAAATGTTTAACAAAAGAACGAATGTAAGAAATTTACAAAGATATATAAAATATACAAATTCTAACTTACGAAGCATCGAAATGTCGGGAATTACGTCCACGAAGCGCAGTAAATACGGACCGGCCATTATTTTTATCTGCAAATTGGACCAAAAAAACCCTCATATTTTGAAAAAAATGAACATGAAATTATTTAAGGATCTATTTTTTATAAACATGTACCATTAAGAAAAAATGAAATTTTTACAATGGTGGTTGTAGGAATACGCAGAAGACGAAACGCAATCAATTGGGATTGGGGTAATGTTTCTCGCGAAATCACACAAAAAATACTCATATTTTCATAAAATTCAACATGACCTTTTCGAATATCTGTTGTCATGAACACATTTTATGAAAAAAAAATTATATCTTTACAATTGTAGTTGTAGAAGGAGGCCAAAAATATATTATTTTTTTTAAATTTGCGCAAAGTGAAGCATTTCAACGAACATGAAACCTGCTCCATTCTCTTAAGCGTGATTTGTGCTATGTAAGTTCCCAATTTAATAAAAAATTGTTGTGCAGTTATAAAGAAAAAGTGAGTTAAAGAAAATAAAAATTGCCTTTTTGACACAAAATTACGCCAAAAATACCCTTTTCTTAATCGAACATGATTGTATTTGAATATCTGATCTTTATGAACACATTTTGCTAAGAAAAATTGTTTCTTCATATTTTAAATTGTAGGAAGACGACGTAAAAGTTTAAATTTGTTCAATTTTCGAACAATTAGAGTTATCTACCAACATAAAGACCTTGATCATTTACTTAAACGCCCTTTAAACTATCCAACAATGAATGTAATCAAAATTGATGGAACTGTTTTTGAGAAAAAAATTGTACAAACAAAGTTCAAAAACGCCTATATTTCACACAAACTTACACGAAAAATACTGAATTTTTCGAAACATTGTACCTGGCATTACTTTTAAATCTATCTTTAAGGAACAGATTTTATTAAGGAAAAAATCTTCATCTTTAAAATTGTAGTTTTAGGAAGTCCCCGAAAACGTTTTGATTTTTTCAATTTTCGAAAATTTAGGGTTTTCAACCAACATGAGACCTGCGTCATTATCATAACCGTTCCAAATTATCCGACAACAAAATTTAATCAAAATCTTTGGCGCTATTTTTTGAAAAAACATCCATGATGTCTAGGGTAAAGTACCGTCTCCCAAATTAAAGTAACGATTTCAAATTCTAGGAGCAGCGATATCAGCCAAATCTATTGGGGAATATTAATTTTGGACAAACTGAGCTGAATGGTTTAATCGCTATCGTTGTTGACCGATCGACGAACAGACGTTTTGCCCTCAATCGATTTTTCGGTATTAAGGTACCATAAAATAAGGATTCTGGCTACACCACGAGTTATAGAATTTTTTCTAATTTAGCAACTGGATTTACCCATTTTTTCGTTATCAGGAACCTGTAATGAGTTTTTCTGCCGAAAAGTCGCCGTTTTTTGCGTAGCATATTTTATTAAGGAATGTAGTTCATCTACAATATTGTCAATTTCAGTAAATTAATAATTGACAGTCGTACACATTTCTGAACACAAAGAATTATATCGTAACCATATGTATAAATATTTTGAAATGAAAAATGATAAAAAGAATATGTAACACAGAGAAATTGAACTGTAATGAGATTTTCTGCCGAAAAGTCGCCGTTTTTTGCGTAGCATATTTCATTAAGAAATGTAGATTATCTTCAATATTGTAGTTGAAGGAAGACGCCAAAAAATTAAAAAACTTGCATTTTGGAAAAATCAGGTTTTTGAACGAACATGAAACCTGCACCAGTATCTTAACCTCTTTTACACTATCGAAAAACCGAATTTAAACAAAAACTTTGGAGTATGTCAGGTTAGTTCATTAATGTAAAAAACAATTATTGTTTGAACATTCATAAGTTAGAACAATTGAAATAGCTTTCACTTACAACCAAATTATAATTCTTAGCGCCAATTCTTCTGATCAAGGGTTTTCGTATTAAAATATGTAGTTGAGTAAATATTCCTTTGTGAGTAAAATTCATTTCATCATAACATTTTTAGTATCAATGAAATGCTTGCAGGTTGTCGGTTTCGATCTGAGAGCATTTTTTTCTTCGGAGTCACCGTTGTTAAGAAAACAACTGAGAATGTATTCGTAAGACACTACGAAATTTGAAACCACTAATGAAGCACTTCTATGGAACAATATTTTTGATTAAATGAAATGAGAGATATGAGACAATATACTGCAAATATCTGTCTCTGTTTTAGAATAAAATGGAAAATAACTATCGTGTTTTAACGTGAAATTACCACAATACATTTTCCATTTACATATTTAAATACTGACTGCATACATTTTTAAATACTGGCAGAATAAAACATAGCACAGTATTTATTGAAGAATATTAAATACTTCAGAATAAAACGTAGCACAGTATTTATTGAGGGATATTAAATACTGCAAAATAAAACCGTGCGCAGTATTTATTGATGGTTTCAGCTAAATGATGCTGAAGGAAAGCTCCAGTATCCATGCCACACATGAAGCTCACGGTCATTGCATTTAGGTAATAGAGTCGTCCACCCGCAACCGAATACGCTTACGTCACCGAAGGAATTTCACGAAGGCAGAGAAAGGGGAGGGGGAGGATGAGAGAGAGGTTGAGGAACAGAGCAACTCTGTGCCCCCGACGCGAGGGCACGACTGTGCAGTCATTCCGCCCCACCACGCCTGCCCCGCCCCGCCTCACCGCTCGTCGCTCGTCGCTCCGCCCCGCCGTCCACCCACCCCGAACACATGCCCGCCTGACGCAACTGGCGCCGTCCTAATCCAGTTCAGCCACGGCCTCCTCTTTGCGGAGCAGTATATAAGGTGACGGCGGCTTCGGCAGAGCATCACACATCTCGGTGCACCTCACAGCGGCAACATGGTCAAGGTAGGAAGCCTCCCACAAGATTTTCTAATTCAAATCACATTTCTGGCAAAGGGATTGGAGTATAAGAATTTGATCACATTCTTGGATTACATTATTAGTATTGTATACATCACATTTAGTGGGATTAAAAATACAGTCGCTAGTGTACTAAACAGCAATATTTAATTAATAATAATCTTGTAAGTATTGGGAACATTCCTTTCTGTTTAATATATTTATAAATTACATAATAAAAATACCGCAAAATTGCTTTGCGTTTAAAACTATTATAATATTCTTAAATCCTCAAAAGCACGGACTATCTCGTTTTATAATTTAATATTACAAATTCGGATTTATATTCCGCATCATTTACATAATGTTAAATTTTCAGAATCTGGTAGTCCTAGCCCTATTGGGATGCGTCCTGGCAGAACCCCCAGTCAATAGAGGGTACCTGCCCCCGCAGGCCCGCTTCTCCGCCCCCTCCC